CCCACATTTCAGCACAGCTCTGCTGCAGGAGCCTGTATGTGTGTTCAGCCCATGCAGCTCGAACTGTTTAGGGGTTAGGGTTTAGGGTTTGGGGTTTAGGTTTTAGAACTAATCTTGCATGCCTATTTCTTTCAGCTTGTTGTTTGGGTTCCGACATTTGGTCTACATGGACGGTTTTTGCACTCTGCAAACCTCAAGCCGTAACACTCTGAACCCTCAGCCGAAAGGGCTGTAGGCCTGGGATGCCGATGCTATAGATGAACACATGAAGAAGGTTATATATATATATATAAGTAAATATATATGTATATACTGCATATATTTACTTATTCTATAATATTGGTTCGATAGAAAACTTCTATCATATATTGTCTGGTTCTTGAAGAAGCTTGCAGAAGTCTCAAGGTCGTGTCTAGCAGTTCCCTTTTACGACTTTTGCTCCACAACATACCTAGAAAAGCTCATCGTAACTCCTGTATGCACAACCGGTAGCTTATAGAAGCCAGCCCTAAACCCTAAACCCTAAACCCTAAACCCTAAACCCAACAGGAATGCCAAGGTACAACCCTTTAGGAGCCCAATTCAACTTCTCAGAGCCCCTAGAATCCTAGAACACTCTGAAAAAACTCTTACACAACAACTAAAAAAGCACAAGCAACCTAACAACAACTTGCACATGCACCTAAAGGCCCTAAACCCTAAAGCCCAAAACCCTAAAATTCCTAAACCCCTGAACCCTAAACCGTGTCCCCAAACCCTATAAACCCTAAACCCTAAACCCTAAACCCCAAAACCCGAAAATTCCTAAAGCCCTAAATCCCAAAGCCCTACAATTCCCTAAATTTCCTACACCCTAAATCCAAAACCCCAGACCCCAAACCCTAAACCGTAAACTCTACAAGCCCTAAACCCTAAAGTCCTAAAATCTAAATCCCAAACCCCAGACCCTGAACCCTAAACCCTATAAGCCCTAAACCCTAAAGCCCTAAACCCTAAACCCCAAAGCCCTAAAATCCTGAAGCCCCTAAGTTAACTTCGTTTCAGGGGCCCCTGCGGTTCGACCTTCGCTTCGACTCGCTCTGCCAGATCCCGAAGGGTGCGGCATTTGAGGTCAGAGAGGGGGTTTAGGGTTTAGGGTTTCAGGTTATAGGGGTTTAGGGTTTAGGGTTTAGGGTTTAGGGTTTAGGATTCTGCTTTTAAGGGCCTTCGGGGTTTATTGGGGTTGGGGAAAGTTTTTTGTTGTAAGGGCTCATTGAAATTTGAGATTTCTATGGGCTTGATAGGATTTACTTTGGGGGTTTATAGAGTTTAAGAGGCTTCAGTGGGTGGAAGACAGGGTTTGTTTAAGGCTGAAGAAAGGGTTTTGCAGCGTTTGAAAGGGTATCACAAGAGTTTTGTTATACGGGTTTTCGTAAGGTCTCGCCGCTGGAAAGCCTGCCAAAAAAGCGTATGCGGCGCCAACTACAAGGACGCGTGACCCATTCAGGGTTTAGGGTTTGGGGACTCCTCCTGGGGAGATAGAAGGCAAACTCGTGAGAGCGCAGGCGCTCGGAGATCACGCTAAGCACTGCCAGCTGTATCCGCATATGCGTCGTGGGGCGAGGAGATCTCGCTGGTGGTGGTCGCCTGTGAGCGCAGGCTGTTGCATGGGGAGCTCGAAAAGCTCACTGCCCTAAACCCTGAACCCTAAACCCCTAAACCCTAAACCATATAGCCCCTAAACTTAAGCCCCTAAACCTAAACCCTAGCCCCTAA